TGCTGAAATTCATATAATTTCCATACAACCCGAGTGACACCAGAAACGCTTCTGTATCCCAGTGATTATTTTAAAAATGTATTCATTGTATCTTTTGTTACTATCAATATGTTCTGAAACAAAATGCACCACTAAAGCACCATCAGCTCCTTTAGATAACCTAGCTGGTACCTATACACTACAACTTTCCTGACATGACTGAACATGGTGCTAAAAGGAATATGCATGCAGACTGCAAGGTGCTCCTGGGTTTTGCTGCCTCCCTGAATACAGAGGGTAAGATCATTCAGAGGCCACCAGAATTATTAGGGCACTTACTGCTACAAACGGGGTATGAAGAAAGGTATTTGTGTAGATACAGTCTTCACAGATCCGAGGGAAAATGCGGTTTTTTGGTTTGAGATTTTTTGTTGTTGTTTGGGGGTTTGTTTTCAACTGCAAGTCCAGCATTTCATGGATAACCTGAATAAATGTCCAGTTTCTTGAGTTATTAAAAGCCAGGAAAGCAAGGAGAAAGTGAAATCAGTCACTGATATCGGTTATTCAAAACTGTGTGATTTACTGGATGTTGCAAAATGCTTTCACAGTATAAAAAAATGCACCTCAACTAAAACTGTTAAGACTTATGAGCCAATTTCTCTCTTCTCAGCAAAGTCAGTATGCAATATACCCACTGGATCAATGCAATCTATTATTGTGGAGAAAGTAAAACTATTCTACTGTATTGCTGCACTGCAGTAAGTAATAAAGAACAACACTATAAACTAGTTCTAGGTCCCATAAAACTGATACAGAAAGCATCAAGATGAATCACGCATTCTTAAAAGCCTAGCATAAATCAAAAGGCTCCGCTTATCATCTTAAGAAAATTCTCTTTAACAAATCAGTAAGTAGTTGGTGCAGTTATCTTGAGATAAAAATCTCCACTACTCCAAAATTTAGCTGCAGAAGCATGTGACAATGCAAACAGAAGGTATCTCCAGCATTGCATAATGAGGTAATCTGATGCACACCAACAGCTATGCTATCTGGGGGAAAGGTTCACTCATGAGAAATTCCATGATACATTTTACCTAGTTTCTGCACAAACGCTGCAGACTATGAACATGTAAGACTATTCCTATAAGGCATATTACATTCAGAATTGAACACATTTGATATTTAAAAATCCTATGCTTAACATACTATTTAATGAGGGGGTAAGGAGGGAAAATATGAAATCACAACCTGGACAAGATCGGGGAAGCAAGAATGAAAAGGAACTCCTAGGTCACTAAGTAACAATTCCCACCATTAGAGAGGATAACAGAGGGCAATCCTTTTCATAACCACCACATAAGGTTAGCTGAATCTTTTTACTCTTCAGCTCTTAGAAAGAGACAGTGCCTGAATCCTGCTGGTTAGAACCTGGACCCTGGATTTATCCATGACCAATCTGTAGCAATTTCTTTTTTTGCCAAAATGGTTTCAGCTTATACATCTCTCTTACAAGACCTGTATTTCCTCGAACACAGGTACAGTATCTCAATTTTTTATCAATAATTGGAATGGTAGTATCAGTACTCTGATATCTTTGTCATAAATATCTCAGATGAAATATCTTAGGTTCAGCTGCTTTTCTTCCTGGATACACATATGATGAAATCCTATTACTTCATTTACATTTTCATCTGCAATTAATTTGCATTGCTTGATGCTGTGATGATTTAGGAACTTCCTGTTTTAATTGGGACTGGAAGAGGGCAGAGCATCAAAAATAAGAACAGAAAATAAAAATAAAAATCAAGACTGACACATAAGATCGGCTAGTATTCTCACAGTTTCTGAAAGCTGCTTTCTATTAAAAAAGAAGCTGATAATAGCTTACATATATTTTGCAATTAATTCCTCCTATTTTACGCAGTTATTTTGAGCAATACAAAAATGTTGTGAAATGAAAGCATTTGTTTTCCTTTGAACAAAAATAGAATGTATATCTTAATTATATCTGCTTAATAACGGAAGTTTTGTCAAATCTTACAAAGCTAGAGCTAGATAAATCATGCACATATATGGGGCAAAACCGTCCAGTTCATTTTCAGCAGCAAGGGCTCATTGAATGTCTACCATCTCACCAGAAAATGAGAAAACCCACAAAATAAAACACCATACAAAAATCAAAAGAACAAAAGCACAACCCAAACCAAACAAACTTCAAAGCCAAAAGCAGAGAGCTGTTTGTTAAACATAGGTGTGACCATTCACACATACATAGTCATGTTAC